GTAGTAGTAGTAGTAGTAGTAGTAGTAGTAGTAGTAGTAGTAGTAGTAGTAGTGGATACGATTTTCTGAGAAGATAGTTCAACAATAGTATAATTTCTGTTTTGTTTTGTGTTGGGATTTGAAGAACTCCCAACAGAACACAGCAAGTAGGGCGAGGGTGCAAAACGATCTTTTAAGAATGATGAGTTTTTCTTCTGGCAAACCCACCAACGGGCACCCATTTCAGCTGGGACCCAGAGCCTTGGTATCTGTATATCTAGCACTCGGAATCAAACAGTCCATTAAAAATTAATGGGCCTGCCCCAAAGCTTTCTACACTTGGACACTTTGTGAGGAGAAAGGCGGGGGGGGGGTGAAGAGGCAATAAGGAGGAGGGGCGTAGATGGTGGACCCATGAACGTTACAGACGGGTTTAAGATAGATTTAGTGAAACTGTGGTAGTTTTTTCTATGCTGAGAAATAATTACACAATATTCTTTTAACTTGGCTTCTTTCTTCAGTGTCTGCGTTGTAATGAACGGTTAATCCCTTCGCTTTTGGACTCAAAGGGTTTTATTAATATGTTAGAATTCTGGGTGTTGGGCGGTATTGCATTAAGTATCTCCGTCTTGTTGGTGCGTTGTTTTCCACTCTGCTCAGATTTGCCGTGACAAAATGAGTGGAAGCAGATCATTTCCACAAGATGTCTAAATTGTATCAGTTGGGACTTGAACATAATCAATTTAATTTGAAGAGTGCGGGGGGGGGGGGGGGGTTATATTACGTGGCCCAAGAATTACAAAGTTCTATCTGCTCAGTACCTAGTTTTAAGAAATTTGACATTAAAAAAATTTGAGCTTCACAACCTGCCCAGCTTTTTCGAATGCAATTCTTCGAATATCTTGGTAACGACACCGAATAATCTTACGATTTTGATCGAGGAGATAGAACAATTGTGAGGCAGCGCAGTGGAATCAGGCTCTCGTCAAAATAATCAAAATGGATAAACTTGCATTTTTCCGCAGGTTTGTGAATTTTTATCAAATTTTTTTGGCTCAACACCTTTTATGCCCATTAAAGAACTCATTTCTGTGTGGATTTTCCTGGAAAACGTTAATTAAAGGCTTAAAAAATGGAAATTTTCAGTTACCACGGACTCTTAAGCTATGGAAATAACTAATCTTTGGCGGCCATTTTCTCACTAACTTTTCCTCTGAAAACAGGTGACCCCCACCTCCTTCATTAGCAAATATCTCGACTTGTATTCAAGATGAATTGATATTTTTTTTCATTCAAATATAGACAAGTGAAAAAAATTTATGATGATACCAATAATACATGCACAAAAACTGACGAGAGCCTGATTCCACCAATCTGCATCACAATTGATTTCTGACCCAGAACAGCCAAATATGTCAGATAGAACTTTGTAATTCTGAGGTGGCGATTAGTCATAATTCTAAAATCGGAGAGTGTGGTGTAGGGGTTAAGCGCTTCTCTGTCTCATGCAGGAAACCCGATTTCGAATCCCTAATTGGGAGAATTTTTTTTCAAGTATCCCTCTCAGACTACATTGGCCCTGACAAGGTTGAAAGCCTGTCTCTTAAATGATCTAACTTGTGTCGGTGGGTATGTAAAAAAAACCCAACCCATCTACTTTAAAAAACAAAATTATTACAATTTTAGATGCATGCCTTGTTTTCTTTTCTTTCTTTTTTTAAACAGTTTTTTGGCTTCTTATATCATTTTGTCCATCAATACCATTGTTACAAAATAAAAATTCAGAAACCATAATTTGTGAAGTGTGCTGACAAAAATGAGTTACTTCTCGGATTTGAGCCCTTTGGGAATAGATCTATAATACATTATGCACATAGGTGAAGTTCTTACAATTTTTAAGTTTTAAATGCTTTAAGAATATGGCATAAAAAGAAAATCTACAAATTTTACCCGAGTGTGAATTTTTGGCCAATATCTCCATTTGTGGATTGCCAGAAGTACCTCATTTTGTCAACACCCCGCCTCACCAATGCAGTAGCATCTTAGCCACACATTTAGTTAAAACGGTCGCACACGGAAAAGGCGACAACAGACCATAGTAAGGACGCGTGAAACAAAGACAAATAGTCATCAAGATATTTTTTCATGTAACTCAATGCCTTTCTCCCCTATGATCGAGGGGTTTTTATATCTCGAGTCAGTGCGACAGGAAAAATCAAGCAGCGCGCTGTCTGTATGTTTCATTCACCTCTATGCCAATGCCTCCCCTCCCCTCCCGTGCTTGCCTCAAGACAAAAGACAGTACCCGCTCGCTCTCCCTCTCTCTCTCTCTCTCCCTCTCTCTCTCTCTCTCTCTCTCTCTCTCTCTCTCTCTCTCTCTCTCTCTCCCGTCCCACACTCGCTCAAACACTCACACTCGCTCACACACTCACAAACACACACACACAGACGACATCACACGGTGGTGGACTTCCCTGTTATAGCAGCAGCTGACTGGGACCAGGGCTCGCCCAGTTCTGGCGGGAAACAGGCGGCATGCCACGCACCAAGGTATGGAAGCTATGGGGTTTTTTTTTAACGTAGACCTACTGTTCGGGGAATCTGGCTGAATGTGTTTTTGTGTTTATATGTGTGTTATGTGTGTGCGTGTGTGTGTGTGTTTGGAGTGCGTTTGTTTTGTGTATGTTTGCGTGTGTGTCTTTTGTGTGTGTGTGTATTTATGTTTGTGCGTTTCTTTTTTGTGTGTGTGTTTGTGTATGTGTTTGTGTGTATGTGTGTACGTGTGTGTGTTTGTGTGTGTATGTGCGTGTGCGCGTTTGTGTATGTGTGTTTGTGTTTTGTGTTTGTGTGTGTGTTTGCGTGTGTTTTTGTGCTTTGTGTGTGTGTGTGTGTGTGTGTGTGTGTGTGTGTGTGTGTATGTGTGTGTGTGTATGTGTGTGTGTGAGTGTCTTCGCACGCAGGCGCACACACACAGTGATAATCATTATGACCTCTGAAGTGTCCTTAATCAGCTGATGATGTTGCTATGCTGTGTTATTTTCCTCGCTCTGGTGCACCGTATGATAAGCAATATCTCGGACGTGATTACAGTGTTGAGTTCAACTTCTAAGAGTCAGTTGTCTTTGACAATATTTGTGTTTATCCCGCGGGTTATGATATTACTAGAGTATAGCCAGATCTAATACAATTCAGTTGTCCAATAGAAGCTGCAGTAGACACTGTGTCGTTGCTTTTCTTTGGCTCTTCTTTGTTTCGGATAACGTCAACGTTTACGTAGTGGTTACGATGGTGTAATGGGTAGGCTCTTTCCTTTAACACGCAGAAAATGTGAGTTCGATTCTTGTATGAGGAAACCTTACTATTGGCAGTCTACGTCTCTTTGCCATGTTGGTCCTGCCAGGCAGACTAGAAGCATTAGGCTACGCTTAGTGAAAGTATTAATAGTAGCAGTAATGATAATTATAACAATAAATAATTTTTTTAAAATAATAACAATAATAATATAATAATAATAATAATAATAATATAATAACAACAATAATAAAAATAATAATAATAATAATAATAATGACAATAATAATAATAATAATAATAATAATAATAATAATAATAATAATAATAATAATAATAATAAAAATAAAAAAATAATAATAATAGTAGTAGTAAACATTTATTTTTCAAAACGAATGTAAATAAGAGTCTACAATTAACTAGAACGTTCTGCTAAATGCAATAAATGATCTGTTCAAAGACGGAACTCCTGGCAGTAGGCACAGTACAGAAGAACCGATGTTTGTGGTGTAGCAGTGGGGTGCTTAATCACTGTTACATGCAGAAGACCTGAGTTCGATTCGTGTAATGGGAAAATTTTATCGAGCATCTCTGTCTCACTTGGGACGATAATCTATCCGTCTCTACCCAAGTCGGCCATGACGACAGGCTATGTCGAAGCCTGCTTTATAGAGCAGCATTAGCAGAACCACAGGCACTGTGGCAGCAGAAACGTCAATACTTTTTCTTAATTGTGGCAGTAACTGGGGCAGCAGAAGCAGGTTTGGGCTTGCCTTACTTGCTACATCATTTGGTGCCGATTCAAGCCATAGACGTGTATTGTTTTACCCTAGGCCCAGAACTGTGACATAGATCCGGTTCACGATGGAGCGGATCCTTTAACTCAATTCTTAGCCAAGGGGTGGATGTCAACAGAGAAGTCCTTACAGGGAATCAGGCTTACTCTGCTCACCTCTCTAGCTTCAACAGCACAAAGTCTGCTTCGACAAATCAAGGCACCCCGGAATTAGCGGGTCACAAGAGTGTGCCAAACATACAAAAGAAATAGAGGACAAATTAAACGACAATAGTAAGGATTAAGAAAGAAAAAGCAGCAGTTCCCTTTTGCAGATCAGATACAGTTGTGAGCATGACATTGATGAATCAGCCCATTTACAATTCTACCTTGCATAAGAATATATAATGTGAGGCAGCGTGGTGGAATCAGGCTCTCGTCAAAATAATCTAAGTGAAGAAACTTGCATTTTTCCGCATGTTTGTGAATTTTTATCAATTTTTTGTTTTTTGGCTCAACTCCTTTCATGCCCATTAAAGAACTCATTTCTGTGAGGATTTTTCTGAAAAACGTTGATTAAATGCACAAAAAATGTTGATTTTCAGTTACCACGGACTCTTAAGCTAAGTAAATAACTAATCTTTGGCGACCATTTTCTCACTAATTTTACCTCTGAAAACAAGTGACCCCCACCTCTTTCTTTAGCAAATATCTCGACTTGTATTTAAGATAAATGGATATTTTTTCATTTAAATAAAGACAAGTGAACAAGCTTTAAGATGATACCAATAACTCTACATGCCCAAAAATTGACGACAGCCTGATTCCACCACGCTGCCTCCCTTTGGGAATGTCCTAAAGACACTTCAGTCGGTAGTACCGCCCCGTGAGGTTAGAGCGTAGTGAAAGATATTATAGTTATGTAAGTATATGACTTAAACGTTATTACAAGTATGATTATTGTGTTGTATCTTGTTCTTTGTACTTTCCTTTTTTCCTTTAATTTCTTCTCTTATTTTCTAATCGTCTGCATAGTTACACTGGCTAGTGTGGGTTGAGGTGGTTGAGAAGAAAATGCTCAGGTGTATTTGTGTGTGTGTGTGTGTGTTTTTTTGTGTGTGTGTGTGTGTGTGTTTGTGTGTGTGTGTGTGTGTGTGTGTGTGTGTGTGTGTGTGTTTATGTGTGTGTTTATATAGCGTGTGTTTGTGTGTCTGTGTGTGCTTGTATATAGGTGTGTGTTATGTGTGTGTGTCTGTGTGTGTGCTTGTGTGTGTATGTGTGTGTGTGTGTGTGTGTGTGTGTGTGTGTGTGTGTGTGTGTAAGTCGGAGTGGGCGTAGAGTAAAACACTTCTCTGTCAAATGTACTCATTTTAAAATAAGAGGAATTTTATTTCAACTTCAACAGAAGCTCGCAAAAGCACGCTTATAATTCCTCCCAATCGGAGATATTTCTCGTCTTCTTTGTTGCTGTTGTTGTTGGTGATGCTGCTGTTGTTGTTGTTGTTGTTTGTTGTTGTTTTTGTTGCTGTCGTTGTTGTTGCTGTTGTTGTTGTTGTTGTTGTTGTTGTTGTTGTTGTTGTTGTTGTTGTTGTTGCTGCTGCTGTTGTTGTTGTTGTTGTTGTCGTCGTAATAATCCAATTAAACAGATGTCGAACTCTCACTTTTAAAATAAGTCTAAAGCACCTTTAGCATATGACGGCAGGGCGACCCGAGCATGGCCGCCGTCGAAAATGAAAATCCAAATGTTTTTATTCAAGTTCCAAAGTGAGGGTTCTTGTTTGCTATTAACCTCTCGCTTTTTTTGTATCAAGAAATAAACTTTTCTTACTTTCTTCTTTGTCACAACGTTGAACAGGGTTGAGCCAGAGAGGGTTTACAGTAATAGTATTACTGTAAACTCTCTGATTGAGCCTGGAACCCCCCAAACAGCAATATCACGAGTCCGATAGCCTAACGCCAGACTACTGACGCCATTAATGTGTTTGTTATATATTTGGCAACTTGGAAACACATGTGTCACTTTTCCCTTAAAACTACGACAGCTACAGAGTTGAAAGTTGACAAGTACCTGCAAAGAGATAGATACGCCCAATGACGGAGCCCGATTTTTTATTTATTTATTTCCTGAATTTAGAAAAAAATATTTGACAAAAAGTTCAAGTTCTTCTTTGGTCTTTGGGATTATTCCTCTGAGAATGGAAACAAATCTGCGTAGCTGTCCTTCACAATTGAAGTGCCGGAAGTGATATTTCGCGAGGCGCATTTTGTTTTGAGAGTATAGATCTAGAACTTCTAATTTTTTGCATCTCTCAAGATTTCATGCTCCCTTCCTATTGAGTGTAAATATGGTAGGCCAATGACTTTCAGTTGATGCTAATGCACCGATCATTCCTTCCATCGAAAGGGGGCGCAGCTAGCGTATTATATTGCGTCGAAAGAATAGCGAAACATTCGACAAAAGGTCAAGGTAAAGACTGCGTTGTCTATCCACCACCACCCCCCCCCCCCCCCAATAGACAAATAAATAAATAAATCCCCTTTCCGCCCAGCCGTGTTCTGAGATTCTGAGGCTTTCTCCAGAATTAGGAGGCGTCGGTTGAACGTGAGGAAGAAGGGTAAGAAATTAAAAGCTGTCTGGAAGCAAAGATTGAAGGCATATTGCAAATCATGTCACTCCTCTATATATAATTTGATTCTTCCTCGAAAATGCCGTTGGCAAATAACAACATGGTGACGCATTCGACACTGCTGTCATGGAGTGATGTGTCTTGTATACAAGAGTAATAATATAAAGGTAAAGATTGTTCTGGAAAGAATTTCGATTTTTTAAAATGAAGAGATGTTTGAGGGAGACGGCGGGGGGGGGGGGGGTTGTTTTCTTTTGTTTTGCTTTGGGTTTTTAAAATGTATTTTTGTGTTGTTGGGTTGTTTTTGTAGTTGTTGTATAAATATTGTATGATATTGTATGATAAATGGACATTTGTTTCATACAAATTAAGACAAGCAAACAAGCTTTAAGATGATACCAATAACTCTACATGCCCAATAATTGACGAGAGCCTGATTCCGCCACGCTGCCTCAAAAATCGTCCAGGATGACCATCCATTGTTGAGGAGAAAAGCGACTGTCTCAGAAAGAGAATGTCTAGTTTAAGGTCATCATTTAAAATCCCAAGGCGGTGGGGGTGGCCGGAGAACTGGAAAGTGGTTGTTTGTACATGTGTCTTCGATATGTGACCAACAGTGCAGGTTTCATTGTATACCATTTGCACAGCACAATTTCCGGCTTTGTAGAAAGCTCTATGTCGTGCTTTATTATTATCTTCTTTATCCAAGCAGACCTAATGACATCCTGAAATAATTTAACTTCCTGAGAAGCATACCCAATGAAGGCTCTCTTAGCATACGTAAAACTATACCTCCTTTATACGCAGCCAAATTTGTAATCCAAGTTTCCATCATTAACTTCCCTGGAACGCCTCTC